AGGCGTGACCGGCCGGCCAGGGCGTGGGGAGGCCTGGACGCCCCGGTCCATGATCATGGGGCACACAGCACAGAGGGCCCTGACACCAGAGCAGCATGGCTCTTGCCCCCGCAGCTCCCGAGAGCTGCCTCCTGCCCGGGGTACAGAGCTAGTTTGCCCACCTCCAGCCCAGAATGGCAGAGGGCACTGGAGGCCCCCCGAGAGTGCTGGAGGCTCACAGGGCTGGGGAAGAGGGGTCCATCCCGTCCCCTGGTCTGGTGGGTGGCAGGGACGGTGTCAGGTCCCCACAGGACAGAGGGGGACCACGGCACCAGGCTGGTGTGGACGGCCCCGCCCTGCCCCACCCTGCCTGCCCCGCCACACTCACCATATGCCTTCTGCAGGGCAGCGGGACGAGCGCGTGGCAGCGCTTATGGACCAGCAGTCTGCAGCTGATGCACCTGTAGCCCTGCCTCGCGAGCCCCCATATCCTTTCGCTGCACTGGCCGCAGTACGCTCTCTGCACGGGATGGGAATGGCAGCTGTCACGCCGGGGCCGGGGTGTCCCTGCAGCCCCAGCCACACAGAGGGGACACAGCACTGTCATGGATCTCAAAAAATGACCTGCATTGGGGAAGGGACAGTCCTGTCCCCTTGTCACATCCCGGCCCTGGCCCCGCCCACCTCAGCAGCCCCTACTTGGGTCCAGCCCAAGGTTCACAGAGCCAAGGGCCCCACAGAGGGGGCTCTGCTCCTTTGAGGGAGAAGCAAGGTGAGGACCCCCCTCCGCGGGCAGCCCCTCCTGCTTGCAGGGCCCTGGAGGGGAATAGCCGAGGGGCCCTGTCCACCGGCAGTGACCCAGGCTGAGGAGGGTGTGGCGAAAGCCACTGCCCGACCCTCGTCCAGACGCCCCATCTACCCACCGACCACGGGAAGAACTCCCCCTGGCGTCCTGGCACCCTGGGGCGCTGTGCAATTAACTGGGGGTTTTCCCAGCATCTTGAAAGATTTTAAATGGTCAATCTTTGGTCTTCTAGGCTCTAGATGTCTGAAATTCGTGGTAATTATCAGCTTGTTTGGTGACTTTTCATGATTTTGGAATATCACAAAATGCACGGAGATGAGCGTGTCTGAAGTCTGGTCACACGCCGGCACTCGGAGCCAAAGCTCCCAGTTACGAGGTGTCTGCGTGTCACAGGTTTCCTGCTCAGTTTCTTCCAGTCACGACTTATTTACACGTTTTAGCCTTCTTCCACCATTTTAACATACTTCCTTCTTTTGAGAGTTTCGAGTTACTCCTGAAGCCAGAGAGGACGCACTGCACTTGCTGTCTGAAAGCTCACTGCACCCGCACGCCGCATGGGCCCGGGGGCCACGAGCCCCGCAGACGGCCTGCTCGCTCCCGATTTCTCCCCAGGAAGGAGCCGAGCTGGGCGCCAGGGCCTGAGGGAGCCCCCTCCCCACACACAGTTCGCACACCTTGGTCGTGGCCGCACGGCCAGCACCTGGGACAGTGCCCAGCACACAGGGGTGCCGGTGAATGTTAGCTGAGACAAGTCCACACACACACACCCTACACTATCAACTTCAGTAACAGGAAAAAAGCAATGTATTCCATGTCCCCCACATAGCCTGAACCATCCTCCCAAACATGGGCAAACATGGGCCATGGGGCACGCTCTGGGACGGCAGCGAGGGCCACACAAGGGGCCCTGCCTCCCCAGACCCCTGTCTCAGGCCAGCCCCGTGTAGCGCCAGCTCTGGCAGCTCTGCCCAGGAGGCAGCTGCTAAATGAGCAAACTCAGATCTCAGAGAAAGGCTGCACCTTGGAAGACTGGTTTTCATCCCGTTCTGCGTCTCCAGCCCCGTCCAACACCAGTTACCACTCTCGAGTCCAGTAAAAAAATTCACCCTCCCTTATGTGACATGCTAGACGTGTTTAGCTTTCTCTGCACCACCATTTAACACCTTGGTGAGCAATGCTTGGATCACATCTGGCGGCAACTTCACAGCCACTTGGTTACTTTCCAAATTAACAAAGGTCCCTTTTCCTACAGAGCCCACCCTTACCAGGGGCTAGGCTGGGACAACAGTCACTGAGAGCAGTGTGAGTTTGCCAGGAGTCAGGACCCGTTGCGTTGAGGGGTCCTGCCACTGTGTTGCCAAGAGCTCTTTATTTCAAACCTACATTTGAATTATCAGTATTTCAGGAAATGTGCCTCTAAAAAATAAAACACAACTTAAAAGCCAAGCTTCTATTCTCAGAAGTTCACATGAATTAACAGATTAATGGGGTGAAAAAATTTTCAAGTCTCTCCTACATGCTGCCAAAGCAGGTCCTTGCTCATATTTTTCATTATCGAGTTCAGTTTTCTAACTGTACTGAGCCCTGACTTCATGTGCAGGCAGAGCGAGCGTTCAGGCTGGGTCTCTGCAGGTGCTTGCCTGGGACACGGGTTCCCGCAGTGATTTGTGATTTTGGACTGTGAACTCAGATTTCTTTTCATTTATCTGGGAATTCTCTGAGGCTGGGCTGACGAGACCTGTGCCCCTGCCAGCCTCCTGGGGGCGCTGCTGGGATGTGTGGACTCGGGGGCAGTGGTGTGAGGTCCAGCGGGAGGCTTCAGACTCTCAGGAAGAGCGGTCCCCCACCCCACATGAGGTGTCAGGAGCCGTCTTGCTGTTGCTGGGGACGCAGCCACCCTCCTCCTCCCTCCCTGAGCCCCATTTCATGCCACTGTGGCGTGGGGAGGGGTCTCATCCTAGGCCCCAGGCCTGCCCCTCTCCTGGTCTTGGTCACGCGGCAAGTGGCACCTCCACCCTCCTGGCCTGGGGGTGGACAAACTACAGCCTGGGCAGGTAGGGCTGCCACCTGCTCTCATCAACAAAGTTTTATTGGAACACAGCTGCGCTCACTGTTCACCTCCTGCCGGGGGCCCAGCTGAGTAGCTGTGACAGGCCTGATGGCCCACAAAACCTAAAATAGTTACTCTCAGGCCCTTCCCAGGAAAGGCCTATAACCCCTGTTCTAGTCACTCACATGGAAAAGCCAGGGGAATCCTTGAGCAGCACAGCCACCCCCCTGGCTCCCCAAGTCCCTTCCCGAGGGACCCAGGATCTTCTGCCTCCGGTCCCCTCACAGAAAAGGCCAAAGTCCTCCGCTGGCCCTGCAGCAGCAGCAGCCCCGGAGGTGGGTGTGGAGTATAAAGTGCTGAGGGTCACACCCTGCGCTTGGGGCCAGGGTCACAGAGCAAAGTCCAGACACCGCCCCGTCTGGGAAAGTAACGGGGCACCGCTTCCTGAGCGCAAACCGCAGGACTGCAGGGCGGGGGCGACCGATCCACTGAGCATTCCCCCAAGAGCTTTCCAGAAAGTCTGGGTCCGAGTCTGCACCCCCAGGAGCGCGGGGACCCTGCCACCATGCACACGGCAGACGGAGCTCTAATGCCTCTTGGTGTCTCTCATTTCTCCGATGACCAGTGAGGGTCAGAGCGCCTGCATTCGTGAAAATTACCCTTCTCGCTTTAATTAACCATCCGTATCCTTGTCCAACCTCAGACTCCCGGGGTTCACCAAAACGCCGCAGCTCTTTACTACTGAACACACGTGTCATCTGATCTCTCATTATAGGTTTTGCTACAAACATCTTCCCCGTGTGCTTTTTGTGCTGACTTTGTGAGGAAACTACAGAAGCCCGAGACGTGTGTGCAGCTGAGTCTAAAGGCCCACTTCCCTCCGGTGCTCCCTGCGCGGGCTTCCCTTCGAGGCCTGTGCTGCTCCTGGGCTTTTATGACGCACTGCACATCTGTCCACCTGTGACTGACTCTGATGTGAACAAAGGACCTGAAACTGACCGACTGTCTCCTTGGACTCACGGGGAGAGCCCTCTGCTCCTTTACAGGAAGCGCTCACGCCCACACGGTCTCTGAACATCAGTTCTGACCCACGGGCTGGGGCTCCCGGTCGACTGTTCCCGCTCCGTGCCGCCCGGGGCTCAGGACCTCAGGGTCTCCCTTCCTGGGGTGGGCGCCGCCCTCAGCTCCTGAGACACTCTCTGGCTCTCTCCCTTCCGGTCACCAG